CGCCTTAAGAGGGTAGAAGGCACTTTCCAATTTCCACAAGTGAGTCTGTATTGAATTGCCAAATTGCAGGAGAGGACTTGCCATTCCAACTCCATGCTACCAAATAGGTTCATTAACAGAAGCACTGATTTCCATAGTTCCATTCAAATTATACCATTTGCATCTTAACTCTGAGTGAGAATATTTTCCCTTAGAGGAGCCATAAGGGCTCCAGTCAGTGACGTCTCCTTGGGAGGTATTAGTTAGCACTCAAGGCCTCCTACTCTTACACTGTTGCCAATGCACCCAGTCAGACTCCTTGTTGGTAACCCTCATCTCACAGAACAGTAGATTTATGGAACTAGTAGCATTAATCTCTGTCCTTTAAAACCAGATGCATGAAGCATATAAAACTTACGACGATAATCTTAGGTAGTATTGACTATGGATAGCCATACTTGAGGGGCTATATTTAGGCATTGAATTCCATTTCCCAATCAAATAGGAATTCCTTGTTCTCCAACAGTGTAATAAGTCAATCACTTTACCCTCCTCCATTTGGCTGAGCAGAACCTCAGTTGTTAAGGACCAGGTAGCCAAGAAGATTCATTAACCACTACAGAGATATCCATATCTTCCCAAGAAATAAGTTTGTAGCATTTAAAGGCTTGTGAGTCATGTGAAATATCATCTCCCCTTTGTCACACAAACTCTCAAGCTGTCCCCGGGTTAGGGGCTTAGTTGTCTGCTCCAAAGGAATCCTGTGTCTTGACTTTGGCAGAGGCATCTCTCCATCTACAGCATCTTGGAGATGTCTCTTACTCATGCCGGATTTTTATCACTTTTGATGTTATCCACAATTTGTTATCTCCTGTGGAAACATAAGCATGACCTTGACCCTAACTTGGCACTTTCCTGTAGCCGGAAGGTTTCTCTGGTCCCGCCTAGGCCCCAGGTCCTGCAGCCACTCATTCAATAATCATTCAGAGGCTTAATCTTATTTATAAACTGTATGGCCTGTGGCAGGCTTCTCGCTAGCTAGCTCTTTCATCTTAAATTAGCCCTTTTCTATTAGTCAGTGTTTTGCCACAGAGCCGTGGTATTACCTGTCTGCCGGCATCCTACTTCTCCTTGGGCGGCAGGTAGGCATCTCCTCCCACTCTCTTTTCTCCTTTTTCTCCTCTCTCTCTCTCTCTCTCTCTCTCTCTCTCTCTCTCTCTCTCT